ATAAGAGTTTGAAATATTTGATGACTCAGAAGGAGTTAAATTTAAGACAACGAAGATGGGTGGAATTCTTAAATGATTATGATGTAGTGATCAATTTTCATTCGGGGAAAGCGAATGTGGCAGCGGATGCCTTAAGTCGAAAGAAGTTTGTAGCCTTAAGAGCTTTGGATGCCAGACTACCATGAAGAGGAGACGGTGCCATATGTGCGGAATTGAATCTCAAGCCATCATAGCTAGATCTAATTAAAGAATTGCAAGCTAGAGATGAAAAATGTTTAAAGAAGTTACAGCATATAAGGAATGGAGTGGTTATAGATTATAAAGTGAAAGCTGATGGGAACCTATATTATCAAGGGAGGCTAGTGATTCCAAATGATGATGAGTGGAAGAAAGACTTATTAACGGAAGCTCATTGTAGTCTATTGACTTTGCATCAGGGAGGAAATAAAATGTATATGGATCTCAAGAGTCGATATTGGTGGCCTGGAATGAAGAGAGACATTACGGAATTCGTATCCAAATGTTTAACGTGTCAGCAAGTTAAAGCTGAACATCAAGTTCCGTCAGGACTATTGCAACCTATGTATATTCCTCAGTGGAAATGGGAGAATGTAACAATGGATTTTGTAACGGGGTTACCTTTAACCCAGAATAAAAGAGATTCCATTTGGGGTGATTATAGACAGATTGACTAAGCCAGCTCATTTTATTCCCGTACGAGTTGACTTTTCCATGGATAAGTATGCTGAGTTATATATCAGGGAGATTATACGTCTACATGGTGTACCTATTTCTATTGTTTTGGATCGAGATCCTAGATTTACTTCATGGTTTTGGAAATCATTATATAAAGCGTTGGGAACTCGGTTGAACTTTAGTACGTTTCATCCATAAACCGATGGGAATTCCGAGAGAACAATTCAAATTTTGGAGGATATGTTGAGAGCTTGTGTTATCGAGTTCAAAGGATCATGAGAAAGGTACTTGCCTCTTGCTGAATTCGCGTACAACAATAGTTATCAATCAAGCATCAAAATGGCACCTTATGAAGCTCTTTATGAAATAAGATGTTGTACGCCTCTAAATTAGTTTGAGCTTAGAGATAAAGAAATTCTTGGTCCGGAGTTGATCCAGGAAGTAGAAGAAAAGGTTCAAGTAATTTAAAGTAATCTCAAAGCAGTAGCTGATAGACAGAAATCATACGCGGATCTAAAGAGAAAAGAGATCGAATATCAATAGGAGATAAAGTGTTTCTCAAAGCGTCTCCTTGGAAGAAGGTTTTGAGATTTAGTCGAAGAGGAAAGTTAAGTCCTCGATTCTTTGGACCTTATGAGATTGTAAAGAGAGTTGGACCAGTGGCATATCAATTGGCATTAGCACCTGAAATGGAAAAGATTTATGATGTCTTCCATGTCTCAATGCTTCGGAAGTATAGATCTGATCCCTCCCACATTGTGACTCCAGAAGAGATCGAGATTCAACCGGATTTAACATATGAGGAAGAACCGGTTCAAATTTTAGCTCATGAAATTAAGCAATTAAGGAACAAGACTATTCCATTAGTCAAAGTATTGTGGAGAAATCACAAAGTAGAGGAAGCAACATGGGAGCTTGAATAGGATATGAGGAATCAGTACCCCCATCTCTTTGTGTAATGAAAATTTGAGGACGAATTTTCTTAAATGGGGGAGATTTGTAACAGTCTCAATATCGGGTTAGTGACTAAATTATAAAACTTCAAAATTTGGTGATTAAAATAGAATGATTGAATAGTGTTGTAATTTGGTATAGGGTTAAATTGTAAGGAAGATATAATTGAAGGATGGAATGATCATTTGTAAGGGAAAATAATTAAGATTTCTTATATTTATATTAGTTACACGTGGAAAGAAGGAAGCAAAACATAAGCTTCCAAAATTCTCTTCTTCTCTTCTTTCCTCCCAACGTGAAAACTCATAGCAAATGTGAGATTTCTCATAAGTTGTTTGTTAGTTGAAATTTAAGTCTGGTTTTGATCCTTAGATGCTAATTAAGCTTATGGAAAGCTTAATTTGTTTTAAAGCCATAAGGTGAGGAAGTTATAAGAGATTAAAGAAAATAGGTTTTTAAATAAATTTATGGAAAAGAGTTGAATTTGAAGTTTAATTTGACTTGTCATTGTGCTAATTAAGGAATATGAAGTGTTAGAATTGTATTTAGAACATATTAAAATTTGAGTATGATTCTTGAATTACATATGAGGGATATGATTTTGAGGTTAAAGATGATTTTCATGGATATAAGTTGGTTTTAAATAATGATGGTTAGGTTTAATGACATGATAGGGGTTTAAAATAGAGGAATTGAGTGAAGAATTGATGATTTCGGGCTTAAAATACAATTTTTGGGTTGTGTGCATCGATGCACATTCAATGTGTATCGATGCACTCTCAAATAAATAAACATCAAATGCAATTAGGGCATCGATGCATACGGAGTGCATCGATGCATACGGAGTGCATCGATGCATAAGGAGTGCATCGATGCATAAGGAGTGCATCGATGCACCTGCTTAAAATACAAACATCGAATGAGATTTATGCACCGATGCATAGATAGTGCATCGAAGCACCAGTTAAGGGATGCATCGATACATGGTGTAGTGCATCAATGCATACCTTCATTAAAAGTTGGAAATATGTTTCTTATTAGCCTAAGGAGTGATAATTAAGAATATATTAATTAGTATACTGATTAGTATCAATGTATTACTATGTAGATATAGAACATATTTTCGTTCCGGAACAAACAAAGGATTAGGATCAAGTCAAAACAAGCAAGGCCAAGGTGAGTGCCACACTAGATAGAATTGTATGGAGATAAGACTTGCGATAAGTCTATCTCTTATAATTGAATTCATGATTTCATATTCATGTGCATGCATCCATATATATATATATATTGGATACAGTGATTTCATGCATAATTCATTTATGATTTAATATGATATTATATGAAAGAATAAAATTGTCAGAGAATCCTTCCAGGTATGTGAAATAAAAGAAATGATCATGTGAAGTGACTGATGTGTTTACATGGATAGCGATGAAAGAGATATGAAATGAGAAATGTATTTATAATTAAGTCCATGCTATATAATATGAGAGTTGTAGGTATAATTGGCATGCCAAGAGTCGAGGGATAATCAGTGGTCCTTCGGGACATAGTGGTTCTTCAGAACAATCAGTGGTCCTTCGGGACATAGTGGTCCTTCGGGACAAATATTCAGTGCCCCTTGAGGGAATTATACGAGTTGTGGTGACAACATAGTGCACAACCTCTATGTACTCACATACATTTGTTCTCAATAATATACATGGGCAATCCAAAAATCAATTAAAGTGGAATTATTATAAGAATATATGTTTTATATGTGAATGTTAATATCATATATGTTATAGTGAAGTAGATGTATGCAAATAAAGATGTCATGATCAGAAGTAATTGGCAAAGTAGGTATTTTGGTTGTGTATTAAGTGTTGACATGTAATAAGTGGTTAATTACGAATGCTCTGATCGATTTTGTATTTTGTGGTCTCTTTTATGTAAATTAATGTATTTGGTTTTAATGAAAATTAAAATTTATATGTTTTTCTTTAAGTGTCAAAGTTTGAAAAGTCAATGTGACACTTCGGACTCATATTCGGGTCGGATATAGGTTAAGGGTGTTACACTATTGGTAATGTAAGATTACTGGGAATGACATTCCCGGCTAATCAAACGAGAAAATGTAGATTTTATTCCCATAAAAATTTCACATTCTCCCAACCAAACACACCCTTAAGGCTCAAAGGACTTATTGCGTATAAATCGGCATTTATTCAGCTTAAACGTTAAAAGACAAAGAAAGTAGCGGTGAAAACTTTCCCGTGACGCTATTATTTAATACCACCTGTTTTCCGCACCCAGACAAATAAATCACTGCTTCACTTTTTTTTTTTGAAACACACTTTTGAAAAGCAATCCAAATCAATCCTTTTTATGAAACCAATATAGTTTTTAACAACCCTATTCGCGTTAATACGTGTTTAATTATACGATTTTTTTTTAAAAAAAAATCAACTTTTAGATAATTTTTGTTTATTATCTTTTCTTTTCTTTGTAATATAGTTATGAGTAGCTACGTAGGCAAGCTTTTAGGTTCGAGAACTTGAAATTTTAAAATTTTAAAAAGATAAAAATTATTTTTTAATAAAAATATAAAAAATTTTAAAATATATTATCATTTTAAATTTTAAATTTTTAGGAACGGATGAATTCATTGTTATTAATCAAATGTGTTTAGTTGTTTAGTGTTTAAAATCTAAGAAAAACGTAATCGTAAAATGTCTTTTTGTGATTGTATTATATATGTGTAAAAGTACATTCAGTTATATGTATTCTTTAAGTTTTAACTCAGAAGATATTAACTTTATTATATAATTTGAGATGGATGTTGTTTTTATATTTGACTAAATGATAATATATTTGAACAAAAATAAGAACGCGTACATAATCTTATGTTATAATAAAAAATTTAAAAAATCATGTTAAAAATTCAAGACATAAATAAAAATAAATTATAAAAAAATTTAGAATTTTTGGAATAAAATCATCGTTTTTTGTCTCTTGATTTTTCACTAAATAGAAAAAATCTAAATTATCTATATACTATGTATAATCCACGTGTTTTAATAAAGATAATGCATCATATTCTAAATGTCAATTAACCTTTTAATTGACATTGAATATTCAATCATTATGTTATAGTAATTAGTGCTTGAACTTATGAGCGTTAAAAATAATAACGATTCTTTTAACTAAGGAAGTAAGATTGTTCATCCGTATAATGTTTTAAAATTAAAAGGGTAAATGTAGAATTTGAATGATAAGTTGGAGACGCATTATTGTTTCAATATTTTTCCTAGAAAATGTATTATTATTTATTAATATTTATTTCGTACGTATTTATTGACCAACGAGTCAGTCACTCGGTAAATTATAACCGGCTATCTCTCACGATTTACACACAAGAAGCAGCTCTGCCTCAATGACGGCGTATCTGCAGTTGATCACCTCCGTCGTCGTCGTCGTTATCATTCGAGAATCAACGGCAAGGGAGCTACGCCCCTCAGATCACGGTCTGGAGTACCAAAGCCAACCGCCGACGGGTCTCAAGTCACAAGAGATGAGGTCCTTCTTCGGTTCAACGTCAAAGTCTTCCTCTACCTCATCATCAACGCCGTCAACGGTGGCGTTTCCGAAGGCCACGAATTCCAGCGACACCTCGTGGTGGCGGAGCGCAAACGATAACCGGCGGGGGAACAATCACCTGAGGCACGTGCTGCTGTTGGGGAGCTTGATCTGCGGCGTCACAGGTGTGGCATTGTTAGCTTCTTCTGCTTTTATTTATGTTATTAAAATTAGATCATCTTCTCCTTCAACTAACAACAACAATAACAATAGTTTAGTCACAATTAACAAATAGTTATGGTTCTATTATGTAATATAATATTTAGAAAGATTTTGATAGTTGAAATATTTAATAATTTGAAGTTATTAAATAATATTATATTTATAAATTATTTTTAGATTTTTTATCAATCTATTATGATTATAAGATAATATATGTTTTAAATATTTTTAATAATCTGATAAAGAAAATTTTTATTCTTCTTATAGTCTTTGATATTAAAACTTAAAGTCTCTGAAAATAATAATTATAATATTTATCGAGGTAATTTGATTCTTGCCATATTTAGATGTTTTCTTTTATAGTGAAATCGTTAAAAGTCGATTTAATTTGAATCGTCAGTGGGTGGATCTCATGATTCATAGATGTGGGGGACGTAAAGTGAAGTACAGCTCATTATTTCCATTTACCCACTTGCTTTTAGGTTTGGATCGAGACTAGATTTTTGGAATTTAAGAGTTCAAGTGATCAAAAGTAATTTGATATTTATACGAATTCAGCTTAAAATTTAAAAGTAAAATTGAGTCTAGTTTATATAAAACTTTGATATTTAAATCGACTTCCATTTTGAATTTCTTTTAACTCTGACTTGATTTAATTTTGAAAGCCCCATGCATTTCTTTAGCAATATGACATAATCTTGGATACAGTTTTTTCGTAAAATTGTTCATCACCCCACCGATAATGTTGTTAATGGTGATGTTTTCTATGAGTGCATCGTTATTGAATTTCCACCAGTTTTCCGATCTACATATTCCCGATCATTTTTGGGTCTCCTTATGTGCTGAGCTGCTAATATCAAGGATTGGATAATGATTGTGATAGAAAAAATATATAAACACGATACAAGTACATGAATTTTGGGAAATAATTGCCGATACGATAAAAGAATAAATGATATAAATCAAACTTACTGGTCAAGAGGCAACCATTCTACGTCTAGATAAATTTCTCCACTCTCAACATTTTGGAGCTTCAGTTGCACATACTGTTTCACCTTCCCATCGACAATGTTAATGATGCTGTCCTCTATAAGCCCATTGTCCTCGGTTTTCAACCACTTCCCTATCTGCATATTCTCAAACATTTCTGGGTCTCCGTATGCCATTGCCGCGGATATCAAGGGATGGATATCGATCGAGGCGTCTCCCATTATGTCATCGGCTGAGAACGTGTCGTGATCATATACTTCCTACAACGTACGAATTCATCGGGTCAGACCAGCGTATCATGATCATGCTTGAGATGACAACGGAACCTCATATAAACAGTAACTGAATAATCATGCATGGCTGTTGATCTCTATGCTAAACTTATCCAAACATAAGGATATGATTCTTTTGGAAACACTCCGAATATACGAGCTGCTTACCAATTTCAGAGGCCCATAATTGCTAGGAACAGATAGCATGAGGTCCTCGTTCCATATCGGATTCATGCTGCTGGGTACGACGCTTGTTTGTATAGTCTGATAAGATCAAATGACCAATGTTTATCGCTAGTAAAATAGTACCGTTACACTCATGTCCGACACATGGATACGAGGAAATGATCTTCCAACCCAATATACATGGATACGAGGAAATGTTCTTCCCAATATACATATATGTATGTATTTGACATGCACATCCAAATCCCAGAAACATAGAAAATATAAGCGACGAACCTGTTGCCCGAGAGTCAAGACAACATAAGGATCTCTTGTCATCATATCCCGGATGGCTAAATTCGGCCCCTCAACACCGTGACCTTCAATAAACCGATAAATTCCACCATGCCTTCCTGTTACCTCGTCAAAGGGATTCAAATTGATTAAATTTATCACCGTATACCCAATCAAATGGATTTAAGTTTAATAAACCAAAACGAATCCATATGGTTGGAATCAATTTTCAGTTTCACTGTTTTTGGCCAAGAAATCATTAGTTCCGTGATCTTTCTTTTGGTTCTGAGAAAATGAAGCAGACTGAGAGACACAGAGATCAAATGAATTTACCTGTTCCGGAATTAATGGGAAACTATCCATAAACTTTGATGAAAAGATCGATTTAAATGAAGAGTTAGAAGAAGTCTTCCCCGAAGAGATCCGGAAGCTCGGTTTCGAGAATTCTTGATCTTCGTACTTGGACCTGAAGAAGGATAACAAATAAGTAATTATAATAACAAAACCTACAAGGTTTAGAACACATAACTCTTTAGTTTTCCTTAATTTTCTTTGTTAGGCATGCAGGACTAGTAGTATAGAGATATGATCCTCCAAACAGAGCAGGACAAAGTCATACTTGATGAATTTATTCCTCTCCTCAACACTAGCATTTGGACCCGGCTTCGAATAAACTTCGGGTATATGGCCCTCGTAGATTGCATTAGCCGCTGAATTTCCTCCGACTTCAGACACCGCATCAATTTGCTCAATCGTCCATTCATCCAATGTCACTGACATAACCTGAAATCCTCACAAAAGGTAAACAAAAGCCAAAGAAAGAGTCATGTTTTGTTGGGTTTTTCAGTTCTCGGTTTCGGCCAATTCATCTATTATCCGACTTTCTTTTTCCTGTTTCGGGCTTTTTATCTGTTCTTCTGACTGCTCCTATCCGGTTATTTAACAGCATAATATATACAACAATAGATTAGATATGGCCTAAAGTAGTCACCTTGGAGACGTGCGTACCCAGGCTTTTGTGCACGTCGCAACATTTCCCGCATATGAAGACTCCGATATTTGTCGATCTGAAAAGTACAATCCGAGTATTACCTACTGAATCAACAAACAACTTTACATACAAGAAAATGCTTGTTATAATGTTGTAATTCTAAAACTTACGCCCATTTCGGATCCGGAGCACTACAATCCGCACAAATGCGGTTATCGCTTTGATTCAACAAGTTCCTCAATCTTCTATTATGGGCTGCAAAACGGCCATTTTCTACAAACTTCAGTACACAATTTACATTAAGAGGACATGATTATGACTGATGATTCGCTGGTATGTTACTTGGATTCCGATGAACTGTAGGGAATGAATACGTATCTGAGGCAGATATTCGTATCCGAAAAAAATACGCATTTGAATATTTCAAGAAAAACGAACGATTTTCAACGGAATTCTCTGTGCATGATGCACATCCAATATGTAAAACTTCCACAAATGAAATACTGTAAATTGCAAAACTTGTTATTTTACAAATTATTCGAACATCCGGAAGACGGAGAAAATGATTATGATCTATAATTTTGAGGTATGTTTCTCAGATTCAGGTGCGAGTGTTGATGAAATGTTGAAGCATACCTGAGGAAACCTTTGTAAATTGAGCGCTCATCGCTTTGAAGCCAACACAAAATCATCCAACAAACAATGCTTGAGCAAAAACTGAGAAAGAAGACGACAAACAAACAAAATCCAATAAACATCAGCTAAATCAAAAGGCGAAACATCCACTAAATATGAAGATCAAATTCCTTTTCTTCTGTGTTTGTATGAATCTGTAATAATACTATAAGAACAATTAAATCAATAATTTTCAAACAGAAAATTAAGAAAAAAGAAATTTAAATGAAAGATCTGAAAAGTGGTATTTGATAATTCACCGCAGAGTTCGAATTCAAATCCAAAGATGTCCAGGGAGAGATTTGGATGAATAGAGAAAAATAAAGTGAAACAGAAAGAATGGAATAGGGATGAATGCATGCTGCTTCTTCTTCTTCTTCTAATTATTTTTCTACAACTAATGCACCATTCTTTTAGTATAATTCACCATTATTTCCCTTTATTTCCATTATTTCCCGTTATCAATAATGATAATCTTTAGTTAATTTTTCTTTCTTAATTAGGGATGGATACGATAATGAATGGATTGATTTCGATCTCGACATAAAAAAAGAGTTAAAGGTTTATATTTGATTTTGATCTATTTTAATATTTGGTGCTATTTCACTTTATCCGATTCAATAAGAATAATTTTTTTATTTCTTTTATATATATTAAGATAAACAGATAATTATATATATATATATAGTAATTATCCTGACATGTGTATAAATGAACATTATAACAAATGAATGTGTATATGTTTTAATTTTTTTTAAATAAAAAGCATCATTAAAAACCCCTTCTAAACCTAAATGGAGAAAAAAGTACCCGAATTCATTAACTATTGATAGCGTCATTTACAACAACATCATTTAAACATAAGGGATAATCAAATTGAAACCGGACAGTCGAAGAAGAGGAAGAAGCAAGATTTGCTAACATGTGAGCAGCGACATTGGCCGAACGTCGTATTGAGCGGATGGTGTACGATGGGTTTAAGTTTAAAGTCAGGCGAGCTTCAGCTAATATAAATCGAAGAACAGACATATCGGATTGATTATTCAATAGTTGCTCAAACACATTAGCCGCATCACTTTCGACAATAACCTGAGTGTACCTCGTCTCCGTTGCAAACTGAAGACCAAAACGAATGGCCTGAGCTTCAGCTAAGCTGGCATTACGGGGACCATCAAAACAGCTGGCCCTACCAGACAAGACGACACCATCAGCATCACGTAGAATGGCTCCCACAGCCAAAGCTCCATTATGCAAAGGACAAGCACCATCAACATTTAGCTTTACAAAACCAGGTGGAGGCCTTATCCAGCAGTCAGAGTGATCACGAGTTGCAGGGATAGCATCATTCATCGATAAAATAGGATTTGCCCGATTATACGCCAGCTGCATGGCTCGACTGGAAGCCACCAAATGCCAGTTCGGCAGCATCCGATTTTCATGCACCGCATGTTTCGTCGAAACCAAAGCTGGGAGAGAAGCACCATGAAAACAGTGAAAGTTGGAGTATCAAGTAGACCCTGAAGCGATTCCAACCATGATCCGCAAGAGGTGAACATACCCGTAGAGACAAAAGATGGAAAACCAGCCAGAGCAAAAATAGATGTAACCTCTGGACAATCCCTTAATGCATGTAAGACTGATTCTTCCGCCACACCACAGAGAGGACAGGTACCATCTGAAACTCCCGCCAAATACAACCTTCGTCCGACCAA